GGGACACAAACAGAACCAATCAGGGAAATGTAAGGAGAGGCATTAAAAGCATAACTAATGGCACAGCTTTTGACATCTATCCAGGAGGCAAAACAAACAGCAACAGAATTAGTACGAAGCTTTTAACCTCCTCTCAGCTCAAAACTGATGACTCACTGACCTGCAGATGAAAGACCTTTTCACCAGCTCGTCTATAAGCTCACCTTTAACATTTCTTCATTGCCTCCTACATCTTCAAATTTCACAGTGGAGAACTGGAGGTCTGGGGATTTACTCTTGACTAAAAAAACAGAAATGATCGGGGTCAAAGGGAATGCATTCCTTCTTATTTTAATCATTTATAAATGTTATGTTTCTAAATCAAAAATAAACTATTGAGCTCTCTATTTAGAAGCATACACGAGAGTTTTTTAATTCCTTCCAGGACAGGCTGTGATGATGTGATGATTGGTTTAATGTAGTACAGCCTTCTCCGTTTACAGCACAGGACATGGTGCAGCCTTTACCTTAATTATTGAAGACGGAAGGTATTGCATGTTATCTCAGAGCACAGCCAGAAATGAAGAATCTGCTGTCATGGATTCATGCAGATGGATCTGCAGGGGTTCATTTTACTACCCTTTTAAAAAGAATGGACTCCTTTGAAGCAAGGAGGCATTAAGAAATTAACTGCCACAACAGCATCACAAATCTGTGGCCCTCTTTTAGGCAGTTAAGAAATTAACAATACGACAGTCACCAAACTATAATAACAGCATTACTGCAACACATTTAATTAACTTACAAATAACTCACATACTACAAAAAAAAACAAGAAAACAGTGACAGGTCTATTAATTCCTGGGCACTGATGAACCGCTGTCTTTTACCTTTCTTGCCCATTATGCTGGACTCAATCTCTCCATCTGTTCCCTGGGGTTCCCCCTCTTTTCTTCGCTTTCCTTTCTTCAGGGAGGCTTTCCTCCGTTTCTTTCCCGACTCCAGGACAGAGACATCCGGGGGCTTTTGCGTTAGACAGAAAAGGTAAACCCATACACATACAGAAACACACATTTGTTCGAGCGGACAAAAAAACAAACTGCTGGAGCTACTATCAGCCTGCTTACTGGGGTTATAAAACACCCTGCTGCACATAGCATCAGATACTGTTGCACAAGCCTGGACCCAACAAGGGACTTCATCAACATCCTTGTATATTACTCAGGTGAGTCTCAGGGCTGCAGGCTTGTCTGGCTCTATGTACAGATGTACTGGCACTGGCATTGGGGGTCTCACCTCTTGTAGAGACCCGAAGTCTTATAGATGCTGGTCGAAGAAGAGATTCTGTCCTACAGTGAGGAGAGCTGAAGCACGAATCTAATTCCTCTCACTTGCACCAATGACGTAGGCAAGGCTAGGGTTT